AATGGTGTGAAATGCTATAAAAATTTAACAGATTAAGTCCACATGGTTACTTTTCTTTACTCCCTCTGGATCTATACAGGAATGGTGGTACCAATATAATATATAGGTAATATAGGTAGAAGTGCCAAGGCAACCTAGTATTGATCTCATAAAGGATGATTGTCTTCTGAGCTACAGTTTTACATGTACATCTGGCACTAGGATTAGCATGATACTCCTGAGGCAATAACATATTGTGACACTCAGGCGACACTGGGTGAACTGAAAGAAAAAAAAACATATTTTCCCAGTTAGTATCTATCTCATTTAGTGACACTATTAACTGATAGAGTGTATTTTGGAGAAGTTACTTATGATTTTAAGAAAACACTGTCTAGGAAGATATCATGTGGCTATTCATCTCTGTATAATACATGGGAAAGAATATTGATGTATAGTTTTTCCACATAAAATACCTTAGATATTTCAAAAAATGTAATAGACTTCTTGTTTTGTTTGTTCTTGTCTGGACTGATGCTGAAGTACAAATAATGGGATCAAACTCAGGGCAATATCCTTTATGTCTCTTATCTGAGTTACACTGTAAACACATCATTATAAAAAATCACTTTAAAACATGACCTATCACCATGTCTTATAGCTTAAATATTTATTTAATCTTGCTGTAAACTTTTTTATGCTTTTTTAACTTCCCTTCATTTGCTAAATTAATTTTTAAATATTGCAAAATGTTAACTTTCCCTTTACCTTCCCTATAAAAAGGGAGTTCAGAACTACCTACCACATTAATGACTATCTTGAAGAATGGTACAATAAAGTCAAACTCTGATAAGTACCTTTCATGTTTTCTGTTTCCCTGAATATACAGCAATTTTATCACTGTATCATGTGCTGTGGAGAGTAGATACAAGCCCATGAACACGCATTAGTGGAATGTTTTCCATCCAAGCTAGTATTCCAAGATAAGAAGGATATGTTAGATAATTTTATGGGACTTTGTAGACAGTGTGGCAGATATTCATACATTCAGACAAAAGATAGAAACTCCAGGAGCTTTATTTTCTTCTTGTTATCCAACAGGTTGAATGGAAGTAAAAATAGATAATATAGATTGCCTTATATTTAGCATGTTTTCTTGTTAGATTTAGTAAGTTTGGCTGTCAAAACAACAGTTTCCATTAGAAATGTATCTGCTTATGTAATTTAATCATTCTCTGTTTAAATTTTTCTTCATTTCCCTTCCCTTTCCAAAATATTAGGCAAATTCAATTTGATTCCATTTTTATTAAGGGGTTGCTGAAACAATGCAATGACAGAGGGCAGCCATACCCACAACAGTTATGGCAAAACGTAAACAGCAGCAACAAAAAGAGCCTATAATATTGTCAGGTAGTAAGCCTGATGACAACTTTACAGCTTAAAGTCTGTGGCTTTTATAACTCCAAACTGGCAAACAATTCTTCAGTGGACTTTTGTAGAGAGCACTCCAACACTAGACAATAATTCATTAGTATTCTTTTAAATTTTATACTATGTTAGAAGTGATATTATTAGCTTAATACATCTAGTACTTCATGAACCTTACCTAAATCCAAGCTTTAGATTATGTGTAGCCACATTTCTGAATTCTGATATGGAGGAGAGCTAAAAATAGGTTATTCTGTTTGTTCATTCTCTAGCTCTATACCAACTGCCAAAATTATTTTTAGCATCCACATCCTGGCACGTTTAAGTCCTACTAGTATTTCTGATCTACATGCTTCAATAATCCTGTACATCAGCTACTAATTTTTCTTTATATTGCTGAAAGAAATGCATGATAGGTCTTTAGAAGTCACTAGATGGAAATCCTGTTCTGTTAATAAACACCATCTGCTACCTTCTTTCCTTCCCCCATCTCCCATTATCCATAAAGACGTGATCTTTCTTGAAATTTTTAAAATTGTTCTCAAAGCCCTCTTAAAAACATTTCAGTAGAATTGCTGAATTCCATAGCAACAGTCCAGTACAAACATGAAGACCATTTCATTATTTATACAGTGTCTAATAATTCAGTTTTACAATTCAGCTTTAAAATTATGTGCAGTAGTACAGACCAGAAAAAGTTACATTTCATACAACTATTATCAATAATTTCAATTCACCTCTAGGACATTCAGAGTTTTCTCTATAAGGATAACCTATATATTAAATTCTTCTTTTCTTTACAATGACCACTAGGATAGCACAAACATGTCTATCATATTTACCTTGAATAAAGATTATCATAAATTCTAGCAGTAAATTTCTTAATGGAGTCAATGATTTTAGTAATGTCAGCTACCTGTTTAGTAGCTGTAAAATAACACAGTAAGAACAAAAGAAGCACTGTTCAAAGCAGGGCTAGGTCCACTGAAGCCTCTTGCTGTATGGTCCAAGCTGCTATGCTGCTTTCTTTCTCAGCAGCTGTATTTCCCCTCCTGTACTCTCAATGAATAAAGCTGCTTATGTATCTTAGGACAACAGGAAATGGAAAAGTGCATCAAATTCTTCTATTTTGAAACCAAATAATCTCATCAGAAATAAAATAAAAAGGACACAGCTGCACTGTGACTTAGCCTAAATTATCAAATAGATGATTAAGTATAGCGTTTCTCCTCCATACATTAATACCTACACATGTTGCACAGAGTCTGAAAGATAATTAAAAAAAAAAAAAGTGCCAGAAACCTCTCCTGAAAAAATCAGGCACAGGATCAGAAACTTAGAACTTCCCCATTTCTCACCCCAACCAGTAATGCTGTGTCACTAGACAGAAATAAAATTATAAATTACTGCTGGTAATTATTGTAGCTCCAGTTTTTCCTTTTCTGTTCTCACTGTAAGTGAAGTCTATTTCTTTTGGGTAATTTGTTCCAGTTTTCTCTCATGAAATCATTTTTCTCCAAGGGTATTGTGCTAGATAGAGAGGTATATTTATCAGATGTGTTCTTTTCCAAATAATAAAGAAACTGAACATAAAGAAGTATGTGCATAGTGTACCAAAGATAACTCAAATATGCCACTTGATATTGAGAAAAGAAAGAGGGTGAGGAGAAAAGGAAGGAGAAGAGACACGGACGGTGGGACACAAAGTAAAGACTAAGGCTTATGATACTGATGTTAGGAATCTAGAGTGGGCATTTCTGTGGTCTCCCGTGCACTTGGTTTGACTAAATGCAGTTGCAATGGCTCCCATATGGTGGATCAGCGTAGTCTTTCTATTAATGATATAATTTTATATCTTTTCATACACATTTTTATTCTCAGGAGATTAGAAAATGACTACGTTCCACTGTGTTATGATCAAGAAAATTCATCACATATTCATATTTCCTACAGATTCTGTCAGGTAATCTGGAGTTTCTTGTCAACTTTCAGCTCAACTGCAAATTTGTCAAGAGCATAAGAAGCTAGAGAAAGAGATGTTTGCAGGCTTTGTTTTTAGGTTTTGGGTTTTTTTTTTAATAGTGAACAGTAATGCATCCCATATAACCATCTACCTATGTTTTCTATTTTCAAGCATTTCAAAGCAAAGTGTTTTAAATTATCTCTGATTATGAAATGCATATTCCCTCTCTTTCAAATCATAACTGGGTCTAATCCCTTCAGATATATGGCTCTACTGCTCACTCTAGCCTCTCATTCCACCTCTATCATTTTGCTTTATTGCAATGACAGGTTGCTAATTATTTCTGTCTTAAATTTCAAATTACAAATCCATAATGAAGCATGAAATTATGTGATCTGATATTTAGGGGTACTAAGTATGCAGATGTTTCATCAGGAAGCTAAGAAGGAGTTACTGGGCAATCACAATTTTTGAAAATTGGATACTAGGAAGAACCAGAACTTAAAATGTTGATTGCAGGGTTATACACATTCAGAAAGAGTATAAGATAAGAAATGGAAATTGCCCTGATGTGATTCTCATTTAAATACATCTTTTCTCTCAAGTCAAGGAAGGATACATGAAATGAATGTAATGTAATGAGCTTTCATTTCTTTGCTGTCTGGGTATAAAGACAGGTAGCTTCACAGGAAATCAGAAAAATGGGTATTTACAGAAAAATTCTCTGGTTGAATGAAGTTGCCTTGATGCAGGTCTTAAAACAGTAGATCTGGCTGTGGAAGGATCATTGAATTAAAACTCTGGGATCTAGCCTAACTTCTTCAAATTCTTAATTTCACAAAATAAAACCTCAGTTTCAAAAAAGATTAATATCAAGTTCAAGGAAACAAATTTATATTTTGTTCAACAACAACAGCCTCAGAACTTCTCCAGGTAGTTTATTATAGCTACAGTCTTGATGATGGAGACACTTACTGGAAGCAGAAAGAGCAAGTGTCTTTACATCAAGTGTCTTAAAAAAAAAAAATGGGGAAAAAAAATGCAAAATCAAAAAAAACCCCAAAACACAAAGAACAATAGCAAAGGAAAAGAGAAAAACAACAATTTCTTTGTATATCCTATAAACACAAGTTAGAGTTCACAGTTCCAGTAGCAAGAAATAGATTTAAAAAAGAAAATGCATGATATAAACAACTCTTGAAACACTACTCAAGTGAGCTTGATTACAAACAAGATCCTTCCTGCAACATACATACAATACTACGAACTTCTGGACTTCAGGAATACATATTCCAGCTCATTTACTTAATGTCTGTGTGAAAACTGCAGACAATTGTGAAAATTCCAATAGGGAAGTAGCTTTGTGTCATTTCAGAGAACTGAGTCAGCATGTCCCCTGTGTCAACATATGAGAAGGAATCCGTCCATGAAACTTGCAGATATATGCATCTGAATGCATCTGATGCATCTGAAACTATGCATCTGAATGACTGTATGAAAAGCAAATATTGCAACTTGGATAAGGTTATAAATGTGTATTTGTATAAATTTCTGTGGGATGTTTTGTTTTGTTATGTATAGAGCTCAGAAAGAAAAAAAAGTACAGAATATTTTGTTAAGAATGTCTTACCTTCATAGTACACTTTAAACCCATGAGCACTAACTGCAAAGTCACTTGTCAAGCGAAGTGAAAATACAGATTTTGTACTTGTCACAGGTGGAGGAAGATGAAATCCTGTTAACCTAAGAAACAAAAAAGTGCAACTCATGGTTAATTGTCTGAAAAAAAATGTGTGCGACAGGTTGCTTTCAAACAATATTCAATCATCAAAAGGACAACTGGTTTAAAAATATATAGTTTATATTACTTGAAAAAATGATTTTTATATGGTAATTGAGGCATTCATGTTAAATTTGACCGTCTTTCATGGACACTGAACCAGGTAAGGTACATCAGTTTGAAAAAAACATATTTAATACAGATGACAGTAAGATATAGAAACTGAACTTTAAAAATGGTTCAGATTATCACTAGATGAAAGAAATAAAACAAGCAAGCAAATCACAAACCACCAGACAATTTACACTCCTTAGAGTTATGTTCAAAATTGTATTGCAGTGCATATTTTACACAAGTCTCTGCTAAAATTTGTAGGGGCTGAACTTTTACACAGTAATATGATGAAAGAAAGGGGATCATGATTCACTTTAATGAGGGAATTTAATATTATTTAAACTATGCACTTTAGCCTCAGAGAAGAAATTTCTGATTTCAAGACAGAGGAAATGCAAGGAACATCATCATGAAATCACACATTCATAAAGAAAGCTCTCTTGCAAGGAATTGCGGTGTTGTTAGAGTTTGTGGTTTTGGTGTTGTTTGTATGTTTGGTTTTGTTTTGTTCTATTAAAACCACTATGTTTGAGACACAGATGCAAGGAAAGTCTTTGTGTACTCAGCACTGCTGATATGCTCTGCTGATACTCACTTCTACACATTCTTTTCATTTGATGTACATGTGCTAACACTTAATTTCCTCAAGTCTAGGAGAACAACCTCATCAGAGTTCATACTAGACTAACAGCCCATAGTGTTTACCTGTCGAAATTGCCTAAAGAACAAGCTGAAGAATTTAGCTGTATATACTCACCAGTGAAATCTAGACATATCTTTAGAGACCAGTTAGCCATGTGTGGAAGATTGTGTAGCAGATTAGGATGAATTATTTTATTAATGATTGACATAAAATTATTTTGATGTGTTTGAAAATGGTCCCTTATTGTACTTTTTACTTTGAATTTAGAATTACAGAAAAATTTAGATCGGAAGGGACCTGTGGAGCTCAAGTAGTTCAACCTACTGTTCAAAGTGGGTTTAAAGTCAGTTTAGTCCAGGTTGCTCAAGATTTACATTTTCCCTTTCCATTCTTAGAACAAATTCTCTGTGGTCTTTTGTTTGTTTAGGATTTGAGGGGATTGGTTTAGTTTGTTTTCTTGGGTTATTTTTTTAGGTTGGTGTTGGTTTGTTTTTTTTTTTTAAATACAACTATATAAATAGCTACATAGGTTGGTCTGAGGACCCTTAAAAAAATGTAAACTCTGATATTTTTATTGGAATAAATGGCATATATATTTAATTTTGCTTGATAGAAGTATTACAAACACCAATGCTGTTTACTGGTGCTTTAATACATTTGTTGCTGCTTGTACTGAAATTCAGTCTCAGTCTTGTTCTGAAATTGAAAATTAACTGATGAGTTATGTCCTGCCATTATCAGTATTTCTAATCTCATCAGTGTGAAGGACATAGAGTGATGAGAAGCCCAGAATTCAAAAGGTCAGGAAATTATTTGCTAAAAAAAAATTGTAATTGCAATATTAACATTTCTTTAATGTTTTATTTATTTTTAGATTTAAGATACCTTTAGATGAGTTCTATGTACTGTACTGGTAATTTACCATGAGACTTATTTGCTGTGGGGATCCTAAAAAGTTTTTTATTGTTCTTTGATGCCTATCTACCTGGTGTCCTTGATATTCTAAATTAATGGTATTCTATAGATGTTTTATCTTAAGCAATCTTTGGAAAAAAAAACAAACCAAAACATGACAACTCCACCACAATACAATAGCCAATGTATGTCACTGGTTACAGTCATGACAGGTATGAAAGCCAAATTATAATAGTACTCATATCACATAACCAGAAAATTTAAAACAATGAACAAAAGAAGCAATGGTCCCTAAAGAAGTATATATACATATTTTATATGTAGCAAGTCATCAGTGTGTGCATCTAGAAACCTACTCCTTGTTTTATCATTGGTAATCTTATGAATTATGTCACTAAACCAAGACTAGATTAAAGAATTTCAGTTAATATGAAAAGGTGCAGAAATATTTACACAATATTTAGGATTATGGAAATGTATTTTTATTTGATTATGAGATTTTGTTTTCTAACAGTAAAACAAAGTAATCAAATGATCACGTCTCCCAAACAGGCATATACATAATTCTTTGATAAGTCAGTATCAATGCAATTTTCCCAACAGCTTGGTCATTAACCAAAAAATACATTAATCCATTGGTAAGTATCAACACTTCAAAATAAGTTGATCTAATGTAAACCAAAACCAATAATTTGAATAAAACTTTAACTTGCATCACACAGTAGATCTTGCTGGTGTCTATTTAGCTACTCAATACTTTTAAAGACTTGTGGATATAAACACATATCCAGCAGAAAATAAATACATAGTTATCCCCAAGTATTTAATTTTATGAGTGGTACATATGCACAGCTTAGATGGGTAGGGGATTTTTAAACTGAACACATATATTACTAACACAGCAAACAGTACAGCTCCTCATGAAAAACAGATCATTATAAGAGCCATTTGATACCATTTAGCTTTCATGGGTGGGCCTTTTATAACCATCATTATGCTGCACTTAGGATAATCTTGTTTCCTTAATTTGGTTGCTACACTTAAATTGATAGGAAGAAATGCAGAGGTTTTACTCCTGGTTTAGTAGATGCAAAATTCATCAAAATTTTTAATTAAGAAAAAATTAACATGCAAATATCACTCAGTAAAACACCAAAGATTTTCAGAAAGGAATGTAATGTAATTCACTCAGACAACTGAAATAATACTTGAGTAATATTCATTGGGTACAAGGCATTGACCTCAGAGCTTAAGTCCCATTTGCATGTTAAATTCTACAATGTTAGCTAGAATAGTTTCCACTGCCCATTAAAATGAAACATAGCAAGCACATCATAACTGCAGCACAGATATGTCAGATAAGCAGCAAAATACCAGTAAGATAATTTACGTGCATAGGCCTGATTACCACTTTAGTTATGACAAGGTAGTCATAACTAAATGTCTGAGTACCCCATAAAAGTAAAAAAAAAAAGGTGGAACACATGAAAAACAAGAAGTCATCTCCTTAAACTGATATCATCTGCATACCAAACATGTTTAAAATTTAAATTTCCCATTGAAGCTGAGGGTTTTTTTTTTATCTACAGCAATTTTCCATCTTACTTTCTCTTTGTATATTTCATTCCATTTGTATCAATTTTTTTAAAATTTAAAATATCTAATGGATTTATTCAGGAGACTGTCTATTGCAGTTTTAGACACTCTGAGGTACTTGAAACATCAGCTCAGAGTTGGTAGATATGACATTAGACCAACATGAGATCCTTATACTTCTGGAAAGATGGAGGCCAGGCAGGATCCCTTAGGGATTTTATATGTGCCTACATCTTATGTTACGCTCTTCAATCATTCCTTTATAGCCTACCACTTTGGAAGAAGAAATTTATAGTAGGACAGATGGACTTTCTTATTCTATTTTTGGGTGGGATTTTCATTCACCTGGTCCTAACCTTCTTTCCCTTTTTGATTTGTGGATTGGTTCATTCAGTGTTCCCTGACCTCATAAAGAGATCCTATAAGTAATTGATACTGGCTCATGTAGCTAGAAACCATGGGAGCTAAAAGACAATGTCAACAGAAGTCTGAGAAGAAAACACAATTCCTTCTGTCTCAATTCTTTAAAAAAATAATTTTGAATTGTGACATTCTACTTGAGTATTTGATTGAGGTGATGCAGTTCAGCTACAAAGTATCATGAAACACAGAATAGAGATAAAAATTTGCAAATGAATACACTGCATACTAATAACTATGTTTGCTTTGTTCTTGCTAGTGTCTTACAAGCTTGTCAGGCACCTAACATCCACAACAAATGGATACATTATGTGTGTCCAAGACTACAGACAATTCTGGGAGTACAGGAAAAGGTTGAGAGATATTTTTATTTATTAGCTTTACTATGGTAGAAAGATCAGATGTTCATCCTGAAAAACTTGTCTACAGAAATTCTAAAACTCCGGTATTTAAATATAGTGAAAATAAAGATGACATGTCATTTGGAGACACAATATACATTCAAAATTTAGATATTATTTGCATGTTGCGTTATGATGCTTTGTAAAGTAGTTTCAGTAACGTGAATCTGGCAAGGTTTTTCTAATCACCTTGAAGTGTAAGAATGGAGAACAGAAATCTGGATTACCTTGGAGCCAGAGAAAAGGTCATATGAGATATGTCATTAAATTACTCCAAGTAGACCCAAGACTGCAGAGAAGAAAATCTCCATCATCACCATCATACTTTTCGGCAAAGAATTAATCCTACAGGTTGCTTGCCATAACTACCCTGTGGTGCCACTTTATCCTCCCGAGGAAAACCAAAGCAGTTGAGGATCCAAAAGGACATCAGAACATGAGAATACCACCAGAGAAAGTAGATTCTTGGAAGATTCTGTACAATTTTAACTGTATTTTCAATGGGATTTTTTTTAAAAAATTACTTGAAGTATGAGTGTTAGCAATATTGGAAGTAGATTAGTGATAATAAATGTTATATTCACTGTTATATTTTTATTTGTTAAGAATTCTTGGGAAAATAAGACAGATTTTATTTGAGTCCTCAGATGTCTCTAACTACTCAGGATGCAAGTGCAGAAAATTTCCGGATGTACAAATAAAGTGACTAAAGGATGTCTGTTTTCAGGTGAGAGACTAGTTTTGAAGGATTCTCTGTCATATGTATTCTCTGACTCCATCCTTATTTATTTTTTTCAGTAATGGAAGAAGTCAAATGGAGTCTGAAACAAAACACTGTCTTATGGATGCAAGAATTTATTAATATTCTGTCCCT